TGCAACAGGGTCTTGCTATGTACTCCAGGCTGGCCTTGAACTCACGGCGATCCTCTTGCCTCAGCTTCCTGAGTGCTGGGATCACAGGTGTATGCTGCCATGCCCAGCAAATCTCTAACTAATGATACTTGTTTTTTGGTTTTTGTTTTGGTACCGGGGATCAAACTCCAGTCCTTGTGCTTGCAAAGCAAGTGGTATACCGCTTGCAAAGCAAGCGGTTTACCACTTGCTGTATACCACTGAGCTGTATCACTGACAGATACTTGTTATGATTTGTGCCTGCTGGAGTCTCTGGCAAGCTGGACCACATGAAAAGAGGCAAACTCTGGCTGGAAATACACATTTGGAACTGAAAAAGAGGTTAAGTTGCTAATGAGCCCTTGTTGAAATCAAACCTCTGACCCTTTGATGCTGCTAATTTTCTAGTCTAATATTTTTGAGTGGCCAATTTGGAACTCTCTGAGACTGACAAGATGAAGACAAAGCATTAGCTGTCTGGCATTGCAGCATGCCTTTGCTGCAGCCCAAGAAAAGCACTGGTTGTCTGGAATCCCAGTCACAGATCCTAATTGCTGACCCCAGGCTGAAACCCATTACCGAATGCTGTGGGCGTGCAGCACCGGCAGCTCAGCTGCTTCCAGTTAGCAGGCCCTGGCGGAATGAACAGGACCCAGGCTGGGACTTGGAGGGCGGGGACCCTGTTGTGGCTGTCAGCCATGAAAGACCCTGGATGCTGGCGGGACCATCTGGTTCATGGAGATGCTTATTCTTATGAGACCACCTCAAAAAAAGCTGCCAAGCAGCTCTTCATCTCTAATGCGGAGTCCAACTGCATCCCTCGCTCATGACCCCTGCCAAAAGCTGCCAGTTGAAGGAGGACACACCACCAGTACTACAACCCCCTCCCTCCCGCCTTGCTTTTGACAGATGAGACTCTGGATCCTCTCTGGATGTTGTCCCCCTGCTGCTGATTTGTCCTATGCAGTGTTTTGGGATAGTTGCGGTTTGCAGTAATGGACTAACAAGCTGGCTCCCCCTTACTCCATTTTCTCCTGGTACACAGACTAGTAAGATGAGCTGTTATATTAGAATGTAGCTGTCCACAGAAAGGGATTTGTCTCTTGTTAAATAATCAGGACAAAAAGGATAGAAGCATGTGGAAGCCTATTTTGAAATTTTTGAAAACTCAGGATTTTGTCCTTTATTAGTTTGCTAGGGATGCCATAACAAAATACTATAAACTGAGTTGCTTAAACAACAGAAACTAATTTTCTCCTAACCTTTCTGGAGGTTAGAAGTCCAAGAGTATGGCTGGGAATGTAGTTCAGTGGCTCTGTGCCTTTCTTGTAAGCGCAAAGTCCTGAGTTCGATCCCTGATACTTGGGGGGAACGGACAAAAAGCAGTTCAAGAGCAAGATGTTGACAAGTTTGGCCTCTCTGGAGTCCTTTCTCCTTGGCTTGCAGATAGCTGCCTCACTGCCTCGTGTTCACGTCTCTCTGTGAGTCTGTCTTCCTTTCCACATGTTGTCAGTGCTTTGAGTTCAGATTGCTGACAATGGAACCAGCCGGGCCTTCTCTAGCACTTTCCATACAGAACACCTTTAAATTTCATTCATACTCATGAGGTGGATAAACTGCAGTCATGAACAAGCGAGACCATTTGAAATTCACTCTGTCTTTAGTCCCTCAGAAAGCAAGGACTCCAGGAACTTTTCAGATGGGACTAGAAACCCTAGGGCCGCAGAGACCCAGATCAGTTTGTTCTGTCTCATTTGTATTCTGCTTGGGGGGCCCTAACATTGTCAGTTCTTTGTTTCCAGAGTACTGCCTATGTCCTCTGGGACTGTGCTTCTGTACTTCACACTGACTGTGTGACATTGTCTTATCCCTGGAAGGCTTTAAGGTCAGCTTCCACTTCCTGGCTAATGTTTGTGGTTCCTGAATTTGGGCCTCAGGTCAGGTAAAATGGTTCTTAAAGAAACTTGAGGGACCTGGCTTTCTAAGATAGACTTTTATGAATCATAGGATTGATTTATTTATTGGTACAAGGGCTCGAACTCACAACCTTGCCCTTGCAAGGCAGGCACAGCACCACTGGTCTAAATCCTAGCCCCACGGGATTGATTTTAACTAACTGTAAATTAAGGCCTCTAACAGGTATAACTGAGGTCCATAGGCAAGCTTGTCTCCTCTTTTTTAAAGGTATCCAGTAGTGGTAGTAATTTTGCTGAAAGGTGCTTCAGCCAAGAGGCAGGCTATTCAAAATAAAGCAGGCCTGAGATGGCTTTCTGCAGAAAGACCTATCTGCAGGCTCAGCCCTGGCCAGCAGTGGGAGCTTGGATGTCAGAAAGCCAGCTTCTCACCATCCCCGAGTCACAAGAGCAGCACAGCATCCCTGGCTGTTTGTGCAGACACCGTGGTTTATGCTGCATGCCTGCCTTTGCTTTGGGAGCCTGGAGCTGTAGTATGTGTTAGGCAGGGCATGAGGAGGTGACCATCAGAGGATGATGAGGTGATGGATTAGTTTTTTTGAGTCTCCCTCTGCTGAGTTTCTCTGGTGCCCAGTATTTCCCTGGGGTGTCACAGCTCACTGCTGAGGAGCTGCATGGTCCTGTGTGTCTGTGGGAGCACTCTGGAAAGTACACCTGTTTTCCTCTGGACTTTGCCCCATGCACCTTGTTTCTCTGCTCTTTTTCTTCATAGCCCTTTGCTGTAATTAAGCATAGCCCTGAGCATAACTACACGCCAGGCCCTGTGACAATCCCAGTGAAATGGCTAACTGGGAGGAGGGGAGGTATTTAGAACCCAACATGGGGCACCAGGTGGATTTTTGGGGTGTTGGTATCTTCTTAGTCTGGATGCTGTATACACAGGCTGTGTTCAGTTTGTGAAAATTTAATGAGCTTTGTAATTAAGATAGAAACATTTTCTCCATAACTACTAAATTTCAATAAAAACTTCAAGTAGAGGACCACTCACACTATGGAGATTTAAAAAAAACTTCAATTAAATAAAAAAAACCAAAGCTTTTAATTCAGTACTTAGTAATGCCCCTTTTTACGAGGCATTTCCCTTTGACCATGGACATGGGCAGAAAAGATAGCATCATTGTCATGTTTGTCTTGCCTCTTAGTTGGGAAGCAGGCCAGGAGATTTTTTTTTTTCTGTACCGGGGATTGAACACGGATCCCTGCACTTGCAAGGCAGGCCACCGATCCGCTGAGCTAAATCCCCAGCCAGGAGATTTTTACAGTATGATTGACTTGCTCTATCAAGGACTTCTTCACAGGGCAAGCGGGAGCTTGGAGGAAGAGCTGCTAAATTTGGGTGTTTTGCCATTCCAAGGTGGCTACTGCAGTGCCCACAGAAGCCAGACAGGCAGGTGGGCAGAGGAGGAGGCGGGGAAGGATGGCCAGTGGAAAGACTGCGGGCCTGGAGTTGCTAGATCTTCTGATTTTTTTCAGAAAAAGCTACAAATTGGAATTTTTATGGGTGTTCTTTTGGTTTTGCTACCTGTGAGCTAAATCCCTGGCCCAGTGTTCTCTTTTTAAATACTGTAAGTACAAAGTTTAAAAAGTGAGAGGTCAAACAAAACACCCCTGCAGGACAGATTTGGCCATGGCCTGGCAGTTTGCTAGGCATCCTTCCCTCCTTACCTCTGCCGAGAGTTCACTCTTCAGGCACAGGGGATAGAGCTGCTAACAAACAAGTAGAGCTAGGGTCTTGCCTGGGGCAGGGTTGGGGTGGGGTCCTGGTGCTTCTCAAACTTCACTGTGTGGGAATCACCTGGGCAGTCCTGTTTAAAGGGGAATTCTTTTCTCTTTTTTTTTTTTTTTTTTTT